ATCCCATTGACGTATATCAAATACACGAAGGAGCACTCCCCCAATAGCGAATGGAGAGGCTTTATCCTACGGGATGAGTTTGTGTTCTCCCAACAGCGGATGGAGGCAAACTCATATTGCACTCCCAACAGCGGATGGAATGGTGTCCCACACCCACCAAAGTGGGGACACGTTCCTCCCAACAGCGGATGGAGGAACCGTCCAACCGCCACGTCTGACGGCTCGCTAATCCCCGAAGGGAATCACCCTACCTGCTCTCGGTAGGAAAATAATATAATCTCACACTGGTCATGTCCATTTCGGGATGAAATAACATATTTAAAATGTCTCTTTCAAATATCACCAATATCAAATAATATAAATTAGCCCTCAATTGACTTGAACTCTAGTTTAATCAATTCAATTGAACTCGATTTACTAGAGCCTAACTGAACCGATCTCTAATCCTTATTTAACTGGTCTGGAACCACCCTAGACTAGTATAATTTAAATTAGATTAAGTTCAATTTAGGTTAAACTAACTTGAATAAGTCAATCAATTCGGAATCACCCTGAATTGATCTAGACTAATCAAGTCTAGTTTAGTTCAATCAATATTTGGGCTTAAGTTCAACAATAATATTGGGCTAGATTGAACCAGTTCATCTACTGGTCATGTGCATTTTACATGATTGAGCATACATTATACAAAGCTGGCCTAGTTCTGGCCCATGGACTAGTCATGTGTGTCGCATGTGACCACCCATAATGGTTTGGCTGAGGTAGCCTACGGGCCAAGGCCTGACCCGTGGGTTAGGCCTGGCCTATGAGCAATTTCATTCCAATTAATATCTAATTTTATATCATAGCATATACCCATTAACAATATAAATAAAAAACATAATAATGCATTAAAAGATAGATGAGGAGAAAAGCTTTAATACAAGAAAATAACATTCTAAATTTGACTAGAAATCATAAGACATTAAAAGATGGACTAGGAGATAAGTTTTAATACAAGGAAATAGCCTTCTAAATTCAAATAAAAATCATGTTTTCAACACATATAAAATTTCAACATATTCTAGTCATATTTTAAATCATTGAGAATAATATATTTTAAATTTCAGATTAAAGAATAAAAAAAAAGATTTTAGATTACATATTTTAATCTAATAAGATTTTAATCTAGATAAGATTAAAGATAAACTGTAATGTAGAAAATATCATATAAAACAAATATATTTTTATATTTAACACTACAATAAAACCTTAATGATCGATCAAAGAATATTATGAAAACTTTAACTGATTATTTAATGCAAAAATTTTGACATTTAAAGAATTGAGACATATTTTTCAAACTATAAAACTTTCAACATTTAAAGAATCAAAATAAAAACTAAAACTTTTAAATTTAAGAAAGGTAGGGAAACCTACCTCTTGTCAACAAGGTGTAACTCCTCGTTCCTCCCGTTGCCAGGCTCGACTATGTGAGGAATGAAAGAGAGAAATCCCTCCCTTTAAATAGGAGGAGGTGAGCCTTTATTAGGGAAAATTCATTTTAATTTTTATATTTATTTAATATAAATTATTTCTATTTAATATACTAACAAATATGATATCATCATATTTGGAATACTTAATAGTTATTTCCTTAATTCATATCAACAAATAAGGAAGTAGATTAAGATTTTCTTAAATTATAATAACAAGTAAGGAAAGAAAATCAATTCCTAACTTAAATATTTGATATGATTACACTTATCCTTTATTCGCACCTCGAAGGGTTCGAATTTAGCATTGATTGCCTCCTCAGATGTCATAGTATATGCCTCTAAATCTATAATGTTAAGATCTCTCTTTTGTTGTCAGGTTAAAGGCATGTATAACTTGAGAGAAGTGATGGTCGAAAGGGTTGGTGGATTGGTGGATGTAAGCTATGGTTTATGCTTCTTTTGTGATTGTTTTGGGTACAGTTGAGAGTATGGTTTAGTAAAGTTTTAGGGCTGTGATGGTAGTGGATGAAAGTTAGGGAAAAAAGTTTTAGATCAGATCTTTGATGCAATTGGAAATGACGGTAGTAGATTGATTTAATCTACGGCAGAAGATGACGGTGGAGATGGCGACATCAAGAGCAATTGTGAAAATTTCTTGGCTAGTGGTAGCAAAAGCAGCAGATCGCTATTCTAATACCAGATGTTAGAACCCTCACAGATTCTAAGCTTGGGTTTGATCTCTTTAGGGTATCGACTTCCTTGGAACTCTATAGGGGTTTCTTCCTTCAAATTATTGCTCAAAGGCTGCAGAAAAGATTCATCTATTGCTTAAGAAAAGATTATAAATACATAGCTATTTATAGGGCTTCTAAACCCTAACTCCTAATAGGACTTCTAACCAACTCCTACTCAAGACTCATATTTCTTTACAACTCCTAATACTTCTCTAAGAAATAATCTCCTAACCTTAGCCCTAGGAGCTGCTTCCTAAGTGAGTTACCCCTTTTGCCCTCAACCCTAACCAACCAGTCCAGTAAAAAGGGCGACGACTAGGAAGCCCAAAAGCTCAAATATAAACCCTAGCCACTAGGATAAAGACGACTATGTGAGGTTTATTATAATCCTATGATTTTATTAGCTACTTTTGGTTGAGTAGGACCCAACCCTACTAGGGTCTTATCAGGAGTTATCTTAATTCAATAGAAATAGAAAAAATAAGAAGAAAATAAAAAAATGATATATTGTTTAGATGTTGAAAAATTCAGAAATATATCTAAAATCTTCTCTAAATTAGAAAAATTTAGATAGAAGTGCGTCTAGGTGTCATGCAATGCTTTCACTTGAGATTCAAATGATTTGGAGTAGTATTTCACCATAGTTACAATTGATGCAGTTAACAATAAATAATAGCCTTCTATACTTTTAAGGAGACTTCTTGCTTCATCCAATCAAACAAAGTAAAGAAAAGAAATTAATTTGACAGTGAAATGCAAACCAATCTAGCGTCTAAATAGTTTGTATGCTAACTCTTGTGTTTAGATATATGAAAAAGATGAGTGTAACTTCTTATTTAGAAGTTAATAGTAGGATATTCATCATATAAAACCTACAAATTATAATCCATATAAATCCTACGAAGTTAATCAAAGATAAAGAAAGGCTATAAGGAGAGTTTGCATATAGCATGGTATAAATCCTAAAGTTAACGAGTAATTCCCTACTGAAACTTGACGACGGCGACATTAGAAGTCGACGGTGAGAAAGGGACCTCAGCAGTAGCAGTGGCGCTAAAAATCGATGATGAGTGGTGCTAGACCCTTAGAAGCCTCCTTACTGAACTTGATGCTACTTGGTAACAATCAAAACACTAAACCCTTAGGCGCATGAGCTGAAGATGGAATGGCAGTCAAATGAATGCAGATGCATATATCCTCTAGGAAAAGTGAAATATTATACTGTGTATAAACTGGGTTCACGTTAAACCGATTTCTTCATCAATTTAAGCCTATGTGAATCTAGCTGGGTTGTACACATAGGCTAGCTGGTTATATAAGGGTTTTTTTTTTCATTTAAAGAAGCAAGGGGCGCTGTTGAATTTTTTTTTTAATTTTTTAAAGTACGAGTGCTCTGTGCGAAATACTGAAAAGTAGAGGTTTTTTTTATAAAAAAAAATTCACCTAATTTTATTTGTATAAAAAATATAATTATTTCTTTACAGTTATTTTCTGCTCTAATTGATGTCATTCAACTAGCGATCTGCTTGAAGACATCACAATAATGTATACTTTATGATACGATACATGTTGCTCTTAGTCCAGCAGTGCAGATTGATGCACATTCGGATCGCCGGTCCCCATCGAACTACTTACACATTGTAAGTTACATACCGACAAGCCTACCCATTGAGTGCCCCCAATTGGAGTCCAGCACATTCTTACCGCGAAGCTGTAGGTTCACAGAGCAATTCAACGTCCAAATCTAATGTTACAAATGGCGTTGACTCTTTCCACCCTGAGCTTGCCTTCTCAATGGCATGTATATAGCAGCGTAATTAATGATATTAAACTGGCCAGTGATTCCATCGAGTCTCAGGTCATCAATCATTACTCGAATGACAATATTGATATTGATAGGATAGTGATGTATCAAATCCATTTAGTGAGACTTGAAAATTCGAAATCTTAAATTTTAATATGTGTTGTAGCACACTTATTTATAAAAAATTAATGATTCAAAATTTCATCTGATTAATTTTTAAAAAAACTATTAATCAATTTAGCTAAAAAATACCATGACTTTTGATAGCAAAGTTGTGGATCAAATCTTATCTTTATCACTTATCATATACATATACATATATATATATATATATATATATATATATATATATATATAATTAAAAATTATAAAAAAATTATAATTTTGGTATTATGCTTGATTATATATTTTTTGTAGTCTCTTATTTTTTTTATTGTTAGCACTCTAAACGACAAAAACCATTTTTCTTATCTTTTTAATCTAAGTTCAATCTGATTTTTAACATTTTTGAAACTATGACCCGACCAAATCGGGGATTTGTTTTTTTTTTTATTTCAAGTGGATTGTAGCAAATCCATTGATTTGAAAGAGACGGCTTTGACTAAAGAAAAAACTAAAACCATTATTTCGAATGGATCGTAGCAAATCCCTTCAAAGGAAAACAGGTACTCGAGAGGGCACACTACCAAAGAGTAGAAAAGGGCCGCTAAAAAGATTCCTGAAACATAAAGCAGAGGAATAAAAAAGAAACAACTTAAATCTCCACTCAGATCCACCAGCAAAACATGGTGTGAAACATTCTAAAGCCAGCCCACTTGTCATCATTGGTCTTCATTGCCAATCCTTCTCCCTAAAAGATATGCACACTGGAACATGAGGATGGACCAAATAATGAACTCGTATCAAGTCAATGATAAGAGAGGCAGCATCAATTCTTTAATTGCATCTCTGATCATTTGACCTACTTACTACTGGTCAAATCAATAGCGCTTATAAACAAACCCACAAGAAGTCACATATTGTACAAAACTCTTCCTCCTGCGCTATAAATATGGCCATTTTGTCTACCTTGAAATGCTAGATAGAACATAATCATCATCAATAACAATTATTTCTCATGATGCAGAATGAATCCCCTCCTCCCAAGGGCAGACATATACACACAAAGAATAGTAATAGAGCAGATGAAGAAAGTGCAGGATTTGGTCCACAAATGAAAAAAAGCGCAACCAAACGTAATCGTCACACATACTTCGGTGGGCATGTAATAGTAGTAGTTCCTCGGGCAGGCCTTCAAAATAGATCCCAGTCGAACCTAGCGTGGGGCGTGGACGACGCGGTGGAGGCGGCCGTGGTGGTGGCCGAGGTGGCCGTGGGGGTGGATGGCGTCAGTAGATCAAACGTTTCCCAGTTCGTCGTCGCCACCACCGACTGCTTCTGCGGAAGCAGCTGCTGATGGTCTTGTTGTTGAAATGGGTTACGTGATTGCTGCAACTCCCATCTCTGCTGAGCCTGAACCGGATGCTGTGTCGGTCGCGGCTGGTCTTTTGCTCTCGGCGTGGCGTTCTTGATCTTGATCGCGTCCAGTGTCTCCACGTACTTCTGCACTCTCTTGATCTGGTCTCGGCAAAGCATCGATCAGCAAACAGTAACGGTGATTGAACAGAGGAAAGGGGGAGGGTTGACCTGACCTGCATTTTCCTCTGCAGCTTCACATCCCCGTCGGCGACGACGGTGTCCAACTTGATCAGCTCATTCATCAAAGACTCGGTGAGATTGGTCACATCATTGTCCACCACCCGCCCGCCTTTGTTCGCAATCGCCTCCAACGCCGACACCTGATCGATTCATAGAGGGGGTGCTCATCAATGACTACCCTACCAAGATCATGGAAGTGGTGGGTTTGGGACTCTACCTTGGTGGCGAGTCGATCGACCTCGAGGCTAATGGCGGAGATGGATTTGGCGGCCTTCTCCATCTTGTCGGTCTTGCGCATCTCGAGTAGGCGTTTGGCCTGCGCCGTGGGGTCTTCCACCAACACCACCTTCGACTTGTCCTTCACGCCGGCGATGTCGAGGAACGCCGTCGAATCCCTCCCCTTGCTCTTGTACATCAGCTTCATGTCCAGCGGGTGCACCCCCGTCCTTGCCGACACCGCCATCTTCAGATCCCCTGACAGCCACCACAGCCGCCGCCGCGCTCACCTCATCAATTTCCCACCACAGCAGGAGAAGCACGAAAAAGACACAAGGAAAAGGTTCGAGGTCTTACCGAAGGTGGCTTGGGAGCTGATATAGATCTCGTGGTACACGGCGCCGAACTTGACCTTGACACGGATGGTGGGCACGGGAGCGGCCGTGAAGTCGGCGTCGGGGTTGCGCATCTGGACGAGCATGCCGCCCGGCCTGACCTCCCACTCCGCCGACTTCTCCGCAGACGGAGACTCCTCGATCGGACTGAAAGCCGCCGCCGCCGCTCTCCCTCCTGTCCTCGACCGCATTTTGGTCCGTAGATCTTCGAAATCCGGCGAATTCACAGAAGAGAAAGCAAACAATACCACGGCTCCCCTGCTGAGATTTATTCCGGAACCCGCAGATGGATACTCTTCAAGATGTAGACCACCTCAAGCGTCGGTTTCGGTGAAGGAGAGGAGAGGAGAAGAGAGGGAGGGCGAAGGAAGGAAGAAGGTCGGATGGATTGCTGTTGGAAAGACGAGGAGAACAACTGGGAGACAAGCGAATATATATATTACTAAACAAATCACAACCCAACAAAAACAATACGCAAGGCGAACAAATATGGAGCACAAACAAGATGGAGAGGCCACACAATGCCCAACTGGTGTTTGATGGATGACCTCGCCCTTTTCTCTTACCCCTCCTCGATGAAAACCCAAAGAAGAACGAGACAGAGAGAGAGAGAGAGAGAGACGAGGGAAGAAAGGTGCACATAATTACCGAAAGCGATCATAGTGACAGAGGTCTCCCACCAACCCCCCGTTCGCTTTGCTGTTGCAGCCCCGAAGGCTCCTGTGGCCGCCCTTTTCCGCTACGTAAGACCTTCTCTATGAGCGCGCACACGAACCGCCGAAACCCGGTAGCATTCTCTTCTCCTCTGGCCGATCAGGACGAACAAACTCTGTGGGAGCCGCCCGGATTATGCCACGTCAAGGGATTACACCTTCGACACTCCATTCACCTGGCTGGCTCACGACTGCAAATAAAAGTGGACCCACGGTCGCACGAATACGTTGCAGCGGGAGCCGCGCCAGCCAGGCCACCGACACTCCCGTCGAGCACGGGGCCACGTGGGGCTCGATAGGCCGTCGATCTTCGTAAAGGATCCCGAAAGCGACGGCACACCGACGACACCTGATCGCTCCACGCCGCGACGTAGATGATGGAGAAATCATTAGGAACACGTAAAGCCTGGGAGAAAACTATGCTTCCTTCTCATCACGTCAAGTACACATGGCAATAAAGAAAACAATTGATGGCACATTATTATCATATCATATCCCAGGGGAAGGTGGAGTTTCCATGTCACATGTCGACTTGAGTGTTCATCCGACACGGATGGCCAGGTACCCGTGGATCTACCGAGGTGGCATTGGCGGAACGGTGTGTGTATGTGTGAGGTGGTAGAGCGAGTAGGGGCACAACCTCTGTTTTGGTGTATTGGAGAATAGAGAAGGGGACGTGGTTGGCACGACTACTACGTTGTTGCGGGTGCTACTGATCTCTCAGCCAGCTGAAGGACAAAAGAGGAGTGGGTGGTACATCAATCAGACGGCCAGTGGCCGTCGGATGACGAGATATTGTTCATGAATTGCTCACACGGCTGCCTCTATAGTCGCCCACCCAACCACCTGTCACAGCTGTATTATTAATGAACGACTGAGATGTGATCAAGGAACGATTGCGTCAATTTTGATCATTTGATTGATCGTCCTACCGAGGAGGATGGAGAGCCAAGCAAACCCTTCTGTTGTAATGGTTGATGCCATGGCATACATAGAGGGGGATTCATTATCTTACGAGTATCATGTGTTCTATCATCGATTTTCTTTGTCATCCATCAAACACCAACTTCCTTTATCTTCTGATACTATGTTAGCGTTACTAAGTTATCGTCGGCTCCAATACACGATATTGCGATTTTATAAAGACATGTTTTTGGTGATCATTCGCTCAATCCTCATCACAGTGATCCCCTTACTAATTGGGAATTGTTTCTCCCCAAATTATGGAGTTATTTTATTAATTTCTTTGAGAAATTTATCTGTCACCCCAAAATATTCTACATGCCTCTTCTAATACTTAAATCAGGATATCAAGATTCGTAGAAATTGAGATACTTTTACAAAATATTAGAGAGAGAATAAGATTGGATCTTAATATGAAGAAATTGATATGTGAATATCTTAATATTATTTTACCACAAGTCCAATATCCACTCGGATGTGCTATCAACCCTATGTTGCCCAAGTGGACCGCATTGTTAGTATGGTGATGCTAATCATCATGCTCGATGTTTCGATCAGCTCTCCACGTTCGAGTAATGCCTAATTTCAAGAAAATTTCTCATGAAATAACTCCATATCCACTACTAGAGTCATTTATAAAACAATCAAGTATATTAGAAAACAAATCTCATTCTCAAACTTTTTTCAAACCATCTTTCTTTCCTATATTTATAACTAACATATCAAAAAATCTTTATTAGGCATTGTCCTAATCTGATTTTGTGGGTCATCCAACTAAATTCATGCCGTTATTATTAAATATTTTATTTAATAATAATATAATCATTCTCATTAAGATTATCATTCATTATAATCAATTTTTTTTATTTATTATGGTTTAAATATTTTAATTTTTTATTTTAAATAAATTAATATTATTAAATTTAATATCATTAATATTCTTCGTTATGGTCAAAACATTACAAATTTGAATTAATTCTTGAACATTATGAGTTAGTGATAATAAATGTTCATGATGAGAGAACATCTATATAAACGAGAGTTTTGATCCCTGAGCTCAATATATCTTTTAAGTCAAAAGGATTTCCTACACCATCTAAAGCGAGAGTTCTAAACCAAGAAGTATCAAAATTCAAGAAGAAACCATTGTTGAAATTATGGACAATAATAGCTAGAGGTATACAATTTCGTTTATGCATTAGTTTTTCTTGTGTTTCTATTATAATGGTTTAAAAATACATTTTAGTATCAAAATTTCTAATAGTTGGTATGAGAGCCAATTGCCCTCTGCATTAATATGAAAGAGTTTTTATTTTTATACCATGAATATGATTTGATTTTAATTTTTTTTAACTTCTTGATATATTTCATGTTGAAAATAATGAGGATATAACATTTCAATATTTGGAGTTAGTAAAATGATCATAATTATGCATATTTGGTTATATTAATTTATGCTTATGAGTCAATTTTATATGTCCAAAATGTCTAGAGATCCATATAATCTTAATTAATTAGGAATTAGCCATAATATCCTTAATTAATTAAAATTATATATAAAGTTAAAATAATGATCACATAAGTAATTAGACATCATATTGTGACTTATTATGTTCAATATAATAATTATTATCCCATAGAATTTTTATTATATTAAATATAATTAATTAGGATAAAATATCATATTATTTTCATAATTTACTCAAAAGGATTATGAATTGGAATATAATTTGATAGTTTTATCATAAAGACCATTTGAATCTATTTGAATTAAAAATTTAGCCCATAGGTAATTTTTATGTCATGAGATTCATATTTTTGACATGTTTCACATTAGTAAAACATATAATTTAAACCATTAAGCCTAAAATTTTGACATAAACATGTTTGATTTTATGTAGTTTCTCAAACTGTTAATTTCTCTGATATTCGATATGATATTTCCGAACTTAGGGGTGATAACTATAAGATATGAAAGGAGAGGGTTATCCTCCATTTAGGGTGGATGGATATTAATTATGCTATTAGGAAAGACGAATCACTTACAGTCACTAATACCAGCACTCCAATTGAGGTCGCATTATATGAGCGATGAGAGCGATCCAATCGACTCAACGTGATGTTTATCAAAACTAAGATAATAGTTGGCATATATGGTTCTATTGACCAGTATGAGAAGATCCGAGACTTACTATAAGCTATCGATGAGTAATTCGTTATTTCAAAAAAGACATTAGCAAGTACCATAATAATGAAATTCTCATCCTTTAGACTCACCAACAAAAAGGGTGTGCATGAGCATATAATGCAAATGCGAGATATTGCATCTCAACTTAAGAAACTCGAGGTTAATATGTCAGAATTCTTCCTAGTGTACTATATTCTAAACACCCTTCCACCTCAATATGGGTCTTTTAAGATTTCATACAACCCACATAAGGACAAATGGTCAATCAATGAATTAATGACTTTATGTATTCAAGAAGAAGAGAGGAGGTGAGAGTGCATTGGTAGTAGCCACTTGCGGGAAGAATAAAATTGACAAAAATCAAGTCAATCAGAAAGCTCATCAAAAGGGAAAAGGTAAAATACCACCCCAAGCTGATATTAAGAAAGAAGCAAAGTATTTCTTTTGTAAAAGGAAGGGACACATGAAGAAGGAATCTACGAAATTCCAACAATAGCTTGAAAAGAAAGGTAAACCAACCTCGTTTGTGTGTTATGAATCTAATATGGTTAATGTTAATATTAACACTTAGTGGATTGACTCTAGATCAACAATCCATATTATAAACTCTTTGTAGGGTATACAAAACCTAAGGAAACCAGTGGAAAGTAAGCAAAGCATCTTATTAGGTAATAAGATGGGCTCGCATGTGGAGGCAATTAGTGTTAGGATCGGAGCGACACTAAGAGGGGCGGGGGGGGTGAATTAGTGCAGCAGATTAAAACTTCGATTTTGGAAAAATCTTTCGTACGATAAAAAACCGAACTCGAAAGTGCTTAACTTGAAAGCGTGTTCATAAATGTGTGCAACAAAAGTAATGAGGAAGTAAAGCACGTATGAAGGTTTGCAGTAAGGTAAATAGCAATAAGTAAATGCAAACCAGAGAACACACCAATTTAAAGTGGTTCGGTCAAAATGACCTACATCCACTTGCGAAGCCTTCTTCGAAGAGGCTCCCAACTTCCACTAGCAAATCACTTTGAAGGGGATGGACAAATACCCCTCTTACAACCTTTTACAAGTGGTTCACACTCTTACAAATTTTCAAAGAGAAAGAGGGAGGTGAACACTCAAGCTATTGAAAACAAAAACTTGCTAAAGGCTTTGCTAAGACTTTTATCTCAATCTCTTGCTTCTCAAAGGTTTTTTTTAATCTCAGTTGAGAATTGAGGGGTATTTATAGGCCCCAAGAGCATTCAAATTTGGGCTCCAAATTTTGAATTCTCTTGGGTTTCCGAGGCTGGCGGTGCCACCGCCTGTCAGTGTCTGACACTGATAGTGTACTGGCAGTGCCACCGCCCAGTCCAGCGGTGCCACCGCCGGACCTCTCGGGTGCTGGGCGGTGCCACCGCTCAGTCCAACGGTGCCACCGCTCAGTCCAGCGGTGCCACCACTTAGTTCTCGGGTTCTG